CTCACATGTCGCTCGATTTACATTGTTTAGTCAACCCTCCCCGAATTTGTTGCAGATTCATCTTCTAATTTGAGGTGAAAGGTCGCGAGCCCAAGGCGGCGACCTGGATCAATATCTCTGTTACGATTAGTCAACACCTTTTGTGCATTGAGGTGTCGTCATTTTCATACTTGGTCAAAGGATAAGGACGCGATTTCAATGTATTTTACGTGAATCGAGTGTCATGCGGTTTTCTCTGAATGTATCATGTCCAAATAAGGTAACTGATGTTGAAAAAAGAAGTGGGTTCAAAGCGTAGAGGTGTTACGACCTGATTTATACGTAAACATTAAAAATTCTCCTGGTTGTCAGTTTTTCTTATGAATTCACACACATTGTACCTCCTGAAGACGTTCCGTTGTTAATGTCAATGAAATGTTCAGGTCGTCGATGTCTTACGATCTATTAGTTCTTCAAATACTATACAAAAACTAGAAATTCTACTTTTCTTATAATTGTCCTTGGTCAAGTTTGCGAAGTAGAAATCTACCCATTCTTTGGATTCCAGTTTTGCCAAATGCCATTCTCTTTCTTTTCCAAATTTCAATTTACCTACTTACAATTACGTAACGCCAATACCGCTTTATTTAAGGTAAAGTTATGTGTTTACATTAATAGAGGCCAACCGGTTGTTTGTTCTTAATGTTAAATAACATTTTCGCGTATTCTTAAAATAGACGATTTCTTAATAGGTAACAAAACTTGCACTTCATTTAATTGGTCCGTATATAAAATTAAGTAGGTAATAAAAATATTTAGTTTAGATATAAATAGAAGTTTATAATCATCTATTGCTTCTATTTTTGTTTATTGTTCCTGCCTAGTTTCAAAATTAAACATTATTGTAGTGTTAAATGTTAAAAATACAATCTTATGCAATGCGAACGAATGGAAAACATTATACTTATAGTTATAACCTCCTGCATATGATACGCAAATTCGGAATTCAGATGAATTTCTAATCTGGAAGCATGTTAGCAGTCTTCGACTGGAAACATCAAACAATCTGCAAACAACATTGCTCTAAAAGTCATAATTTGCAATGGGATAGGTGGCAAGAATTATATACCAAAGGTATCCAAATTTATGTGCCGAAAGCTTATGACACCATTGTCTCAAAATGTAGGTGATTTTGTCGAACGCTAGATGTCAAAAATTGGAAGACGCCAATAGTTTTCAAATCTATCCCCAAAATTTAGAGTGAATATATCCCAGATTTTATAATGGCTCCAATTTCTTTGTGTTCTTAATTTGCAATTGTATAGGATTGTAGAAAAAGAGAACATACCGTTGACAAAAAGTGGCGAGTTTGTTTTACTTTGACCCGTTTTTCTGTTTGTACAAACTGTAACTTTCCCGTGCGAATCTTTTTCGAGAGCGACGGGGCCTGGGGAGGGGGGGGAGGGGTTAAAAATTAATTTTATCTCTAATTGTATTCTAAGTAACGGTCTCAACGAAAGGAACCATTTTATACCAAGTACTGTCCTTCTTTCTGTCCTCTTATCAAAGTACGGAGTGCAGGGGGAGGGAAGTGGAACTAGTTTTATCTCGAGTTTTATCCTTCATGGTACTCTAATGAAACGTTTCAACGAAAGGAATTAATTTCTATCAACCATAGCCCTCCTCCTCGACCTCTTATCGTGATCGGGTATATTCCTTTATACCTCAAGAACGGATTGTCGGACTCGGAAGAGGGTACTCACAAAGGGCGATTGAAACGTCTGCAAGAAATATATCCATTGGTGATGTCAAAACGAAAGCTATTTCGGTTAAAAAAATGCGTTTTATCTGCACAAGACCTGTGCACAATTTATACTTGTTTATTTATGGAACAATTTAAATGAAATTTGATACATAGGCACTTTGAATAAAGGAAAATCTAACGCCGGTTTCTAAATTTGGATATGCGCATGCGCAGTGGCAACTTTCTTATTTAGAAATACATCTTTCATATTTGTGGCCGGATGTTTACGATTTTAAAAGAAGTTGCATCTCACATGGGTGAATGCAAGTGGAAATGCGCTTTTTGTAAATCGTTTACGATTACTTTTTAACTGGTTTAATAATAATGTGATAATTTGTTTGTTTGATGCTCATGTCCGGTCCTCTTGCTTGGTGCTCATGTCCGGTGCTCGTGCTTGGTGCGCGTGTTTAATGCTAATGTCGGGTGCTCGTGCTTGGTGCTTAAGTCCGGTGTTCGTGATTAGTACTCATATACGGTGCTCGTTCTTGGTGCTCATGTCGAATGCTCTTCCTTGGTGCTCATGTCGGGTACTCGCGCTCATATCTGGTGCTCAGTGGGTGCTAAATTTACTCTGATGTGCCTATTAGTCACTGAAAATGACTTCAACCGACAAAACTAATTGCATATTTTAACAAACACTTATTTTACAAATTACCACTCGGATTGCCCAAACTAACATGAAACTCAAAATTAACTGAGATCGTAAACACACGTGACAAAATTTTTCCGTAAAGAAATTGTTTAAGGTATTTTTCAATTCCTCCTTGAGAAATACACACAAAATGGTTTTCGGAAAATGAATCCTGATAAGGTGTCGTTCTTGTCCTACCTTTTCTTGTTATCACGATAGAGCCTTTTGTAATTTATAGCAGAGAGTAATTACTCTATGTTTATAGCCATACCTACGAATTATACGAATTTACATTGTAACGGAGTACTCCTGGTGGAAGTAAAGATACAACCACCGAAATTTCGATTTACGATAGTTCGATTCCGCGACTATTTCTGTGTACAAGCGAAAAAAGTTATTGCATAAATTTTCTTATAAATAAGGAATTTAGCATTTCACAGTCTGCGCATGCGCACACCTGATATTTAAAATATGAGATATATTTGTCTTTACCAGATGGTTAGAATGTCAAAAAATATCTGCATAAATAAGAAAGTTTACATTGCGCAGTTTGCGAATGCGCAACTTAATCATCAAGATTTTTCTTAGCGCTGGAGCTATAAGCTAGGTGCCGATTGCAAATAGAACAATATTTTAAGACCTGTAGGAGTAGTTAAGACCTCGGACGGACGGACGGAGAAAGTGGTCATCATATCTGTCCTGAAGAAACAAATAGGTAACCACTCGAATTGCTCAAACTAATATGAAACTCAAAATTCACTGGATTCATAAACATAGGTGACAAAGTGTTTATTCTGCCGCCAAAATTTGTTTGGGTATTTTTCCATTCCTCGTTGAATAATACACAAAAAATGGTTTTCAAAAGAACAATCCTGTTACGGTGTCGTCGTTTGATTTTTTCTTGTTAGCACGATAGAGCCTTTTATAATTTGTAGCTAT